CAATCACACTTGGCCAATAAAAAATTCTATTCTATTCTATTAAACAACCTACACAATAATTATACAGTGCTTTATGCCAGTTAAACAGGAACCCAAATCCCTTTCTATACTTAGTACTGAATGTATACTAAACTGCATAAAGCAGAGAATTCAGAATGAGTAGAAGGATCTAATAAATTATTGGCTTCTTGATTGAAACAGCAAAATATGTTATTTCCATTATCAAGGATGTTCGGGATAAAGTATACAATGATTATGATTTAATAAATCACCAATATTTTTATTTTTTTAACATTATACTTCATATACTAGCAACTAAGAAATTATTATTTTTATACAATATTTCCCAATGTGGCTTAAACATATGAATGTGAACTTGAAATTCAAATTCAAAATTGGAATATAAATATATACAAATATATACTTTACAAATATACAATATATATACAAATATATATTTGTATATAAATATATACAAATATAAAGAACGAAGGATTTACAAGGCATGGGATTAGGAAAAAATGTTTTATGATGGAAAGATAATGCCACCTTGAATTTACAATCCTGAATTAATGATGTGTATCAAGCTGGGCATCAAAGAAATATTATTTCATGTGGTCAAAATGTAATGCTGTGTTTAAACTCCACATTGCTTTCTATGCATTATAGACATTTTCTTGTCTCTTTTTAACCATTTTTATTCTTTTAAAGTCTTCTTTCTTTCCTTAAAGCAAGAAAAGTGTTTTTAAAAACTTACCCGATTACAGCACAAGTATGTAAATTAGAAGGTATTATAGCTACCTTTGGACCAATTAGGACTTCCTATCATAGTAAAACACAACTCAAGTTTTCTAAAACATGTAAAATCTTATTTTTCTGTTTTAGAGTAGTTGTTTTTTTAAAAATTTAGGATGTACCTGAGTAATTGTAGGTTAAATCTGCCACAAGCTGCAGACTATGTTACATAAATATACTGTATATCACAGGAAGCATTCTAGAAGAATGCATCTCATCACTATATTGAAAAATACAGTGAAGTATAACTAGAACTGGGGCCATTAAAAACTGTGACCTCCACCCTACTTGGTAAAGGAACTCTTGTAAAAATTCAGTAATTGTGCTTCTAGGGCAGAGCTCTGCAACCTTAAACACTCAAAGAGCCATTTGAACCCATTTCCCACAGAAAAGAAAACACCAGAAGCCAATAAGTTAACAACTGGTGTAACTGGGTGGGCATGGCCAACTCAACATCACTCATTCACACCCAGTCACATGACACCCCCCCCCCAGCCATGGCTACCCAGTCATTAGGACAGAGAACTGGTTTTTAAATTATTTGCCACGTCTGGCCCAGCCTTATCCCTTCCCTCCCAGCCACCTCTTGCCACACCTGGCCTCGGGTGTGTTGTTCACCTCTCTCTCTCTCTGTCTCTTTGTGTCTTTCTCTGGCTGCCTGACAGACTGCAGCAGGAAACAGTGGGTGACTACTTCTGACCTTTGTTGGTGCTGGATGTGCCTTGGTCTCTCAGGGAAACATGCAACCTGTTCTCCATCCCGAGACACTGGCCTCCCCCGCGCTGTGGCCAATGCTGCTGCTGTTGCCAGGGGCGAGTGGGGCAGGGTCACATTATGCCTCCACGTCGTAATGGGCTCCATGAGGAGGAGGGGACCCCATCTCCCCCATTGTGAAGCCTGCTAAATTTCAATGTGCTGTGCAAGGCACTGCAAAACAGCGAGGCCATGGAGGCAGCAACAGCAATGGCGTGGGCCACTTCTCTCCAGCAGAGGGATGAAATGAGGGAGCTGCAACAGAGGGTTAAAAGAGCCTCATGCGGCTTCAGAGCCGCGGGTTGCCGACCTCTGTTCTAGGGTTACAGTTAGGGTTAAGGTTAGGGTCAGGCTCTGTTTAGGGTTTTTCCATAAGATGTGCAGGAAACTGGAGAAGCATTTGTGTCACTTCTCTGCCATTCAATCTGGTAAAAGACTCACATGGAACACCGCAAATACAGTAAATCAGTCTGGGATACAGAATTTTTGTTTTCATATATTAATGTGATATTCCTGTGTCTTGGATTATACTTTCTCTGAGTAAGTTTTGATGCTAGTCATCAACAAATGAATGGGCCTCTCCAAAGTCTCTAGAAATTTTGTAACTTCAATAAGCTTCAATAAGCTTTGCTATCCAAAAGTTATCCATGAAATAAATTGTTCAGAAATAGAGCTGATTCCGATCTGTCTGACAAGTTCCAGCTAGCAAATGTTTACCTTCTTAACAATAATAGGCCAGTCCAGGGGTGAAATCTAAAATTTTTTGCTACCAGTTCTGTGGACGTGGCTTAATTAGTGGGCGTGGCTTGGTGGTAAGGTGACTGGGTGGGCATGGCCAAGTCAATGTCACTTCTTTGCCCTTTTTTAACCTACAAAACACAATACAACACAACTGGCTCACCCACAATGTAAAAGCAGCTATGCTAGACCCAAAATGGCCCCTGCAACAAACAGGAACCTCACACAGCCACAAAAAGCCCAAAAAACCAACTTTCACACTTTACACACACAAAATTCCATATACAGTTTTGTGAGATTTTGTGTGTTTGTGTAGTTAGAATGAAACACTACAGAAACACACTAAATCTCAGAATATTATTTTATTTTAATTTATTTTTATATAAAAGCAGCTAAATTTAAAACTTCCTAAACTTTAAATGGCTAGGTCTACAAAAAGAACAACTTAAAAAAAAAACCAATTAACTATTTTTTTTAAAGCTCCCAAAGAAGGAAAAAACTTACCCAATAGAACAGGGGTCTCCAACCTTGGCAACTTTAAGACTTGTGGACTTCAACTCCCAGAATTCCTCAGCCAGCTTTGCTGGGAGTTGAAGTCCACAAGTCTTAAAATTGCCCAGGTTGGAGACCCCTGCAATAAGAAGGTACAAGGCAGGCAGGAAGGCAGGCAGGCAGGCAGATAGAGCTGCTCACCGATGAGCTTGATTTCAGGCAGGGAGATTCAGTTGCTTGCTGATGCAATGGATTGCAGGTATTACAGCAAGCAGAGCAAGGCAGGTGTTGTGACCAGCAGCTAAGGTAAGCAAGCTGGAGGCTGGGGGGGGGAGAGGGATTTTTGCTAGATAGCAGGCAACTCAGCTGGGATCGTCAGAGCCATTTAAAAGAAAAATTTTTTTTTCTTTTAAATGGGTCTGACGATCCCAGCTGAGTTGCCTGATTAGCAGGCAACTCAGCTGGGCTCGTCAGAGCTTGGCTCGTCAGAGCCATTTAAAGGGAAAAAAAGGCTCTGATGATCGCGCGGCTCAGCTGGACATATGGGCGGGGGCAGGGATTTTTGCTACCGGTTCTCTGAACTGCCCGCCACCATCACTACCTACTCGCCTGAGCCGGTCCGAACCGGGAGCATTTCACCTCTGGGCCAGTCTATAAAAGCCTCAGAGTCAGATTTCATAGCTAGTCCTATCCAAACAGTTCAATCCAACTAATTCAACTTACTTAATATATATTCAAGTCTCTGATCTATTATATAAATTAAAACAACTGAATTGGTTAAACTTACAATGCCTTAAGAAATAAGCAAACAAGCAAAGGAGCGGTGGATCATTTTTGCAAGTATGTATTCATAGATAGTTATACCTATAAAATAAACATTTCACAGCTCTAAATACATACCTGGTATTTCAAACAATTTAATTTCTAGTGGGTAGTAGCATAGTTAAAATATAAATATTCTTTATAAAAAATGGATAAAACAGCCCCAGGTATGATTAGAAAACATTTCTGTATGCTCATGTGGGGTTATTATTTCTTTCTCCATTATCTTTTACATCACTCCATGCTATTCCAAAAAGCACTTAGATTTTCAGGATCAGGTTCTGGATTGTAGTGTGAATCAGAAAAACTTTGATTTATGTATGGAATTAAACCTTAGGATCTCAGCCTCTACTTACATATTTTATATCTCTAGATGTATTTACAGTGCATTCAGAAAGTATTCAGACCTTCTTCACTTTTGTCAATTTTGTTATACTGCAGCCTGATTCGACAGTTGTAGAATCTAATTAATCTACACTCGGTATCCCATAATGACAAAGTGAAAACAGAATGTTAGAAATGTCTGTAAATTTATTAAAAAGAAAAAAACTGAAATATCACATTGGCATAAATATTCAGACCTTTTGCGACAACACTTGAAATTTACCTCAGATGCCTCCTGTTTCTCTTGGTCATTGCTGATATGTTTCTACACCTTGATTAGAGTCAACCTGTGGTAAATTAAATTGATTGGACATGATTTGAAAAGGCACACGCCTCTCTATAGAAGGCCTCACAGCTGACAATCCATACTGTAGCAGAGCAAAAGCTGTGATGTCAAAGCTTGTCACGTCATATCCCAAAAGACTCGAGGCTCTAATTCACGGGTGTCAAACTCACAGCATCACGTTGCTGTCACGTGACGTATTGCAACGGTTTTCCCCTTCGTGGAGCTGGGGTGGCCGTGGCCTGCACGAGACACATCTGGCCTGTGGGCCACCAGTTTGACACCCCTGCTCTAATTGCTGCCAAAGGTGCTTTAACGAAGTATTGAGTGAAGGGTTGGAAGCCAATGCAATATTTCAGTTTTTTTTCTTTTTAATATTTACAAGACATTTCTAAAATTCCATTTTTACTTTGTCACTATGAGATACTGGGTGTAGATTAATGAGGGAAAAATGAATTTCAAGAACTGTAGAATCAGGCTGTAGCATAACAAAATTGAAGTGAAAGGGGTCTGAATACTTTCTGAATGCACTGTATCTACATTCATAAGGGAAAAGGATAACTTATCATGCCTTTAACTTTTCAATAGATAGGAATGGAAAAAGAGAACATATTGGAATTACTATATTTAAATACAATTTAGCACAATTGACGTCTCAGTGTGCAGTAAAATCAAGATAAGTTCAAACTGGCAAGCAATAGAAATGATTTAAAAACTTGGGAGTTCCATTTACCTTGTACTGAGACTGGCAACTTTTGTCCCTGGAGGGGACTCCAATCCTTCTCCTGGCTTTGAGGATTTTTCTCTGTTCATCTGCTGCAGTATTGAGTTCAGTTCACTAATAACATTTGCCTTTGGGCCTGAGAGAGCTGGGCTTTTAATTTCTGTGACATCGCCCCAGAGCTTAGAGGTCCTTTGCTGTACAACTGTAGCCATACTGGGCTGTGCGCTGATTGGAGGAGGAGGCGGGGCTGGAGGAGGAATAACAAAACTATCCACAGTTTCTTCAATGAGCGTGTCTTTATAAAGTGCATTGCTTTTGTGGATTATGGGCTTCATTTTTGGCTTAGGAGGTACTGGGGGTTTGTCCACCAGAAATGTTTGCCCATCTGCATAGACTGTACAAGTATCCAAGTTCTCACCACCTTCAGAGGACAAGGTGGAGATGCTGGACACAGTTGAGATAGTGCTGGTTGTCTCTAGTTGATGGTCACTACTACTTCGACTGTCCACCTCTTCAATCCCAGAGTCAGGGACATTATCAAAGTTTTCAGGGGGTGGCAAAAATGAGGGAGGCAAACAGTTTGAAAGACCCCCTGATTTCTTACCATCTAATGAATCTGAGGGCTGGATAGGGTTAAATGAAGCAGGCGGAGTTCCGTTTTTTCTCTGTTTGATCAAGTCTGTTAGGGTCGAGACAGAGGCTGGGACTGAGTTGTCATCAGGAATATCAAAACTGTTAGCAAACTCTAAAGGAGGGGGTAATGGCTCAGTAAAGATAAAGTCTTCATCAAGATCAACCGAAGCTAAAGGGGGAGGAGGAATACGAAATGGCAAAATGATCGGATCATCGATGGAGCTAACAGCTACAATTGTTTTGCAGGACGGGGACGGTGGCGGAAGCAGGCCAGGGTCATCCAATCCACTTTCTTCTGCTTCTGTCTCTTCCTGCATCTCCGACGGAGGCTTTTCAACATTCACCTCCATCTCAGCGCTTTTCTCTTCTTTTTCAGGGTTATCGCTGGCTTGTGCTGTGTCCACCGTATGAACCATGAGGAGACCGGCTGACTTTTGTTGCGAGGTATCCACAATATTTATTAGCATGTTCTTTTTCTCTTCAGACCTCCTTTCTTTTGATGCATCTGTCTCATATTTATTCTCCGTCTCCTGGCGTCTTAGTGGGCCACGGGTATTTTGCCTAGCAATGGTAGCTGTTGCTGGGAATGGAGCTTCAGCGCTGGGCTTCATCTTTGTATCGATGTAAAGGGGTTTGTTAAGATCTGCTTTGCTGGAGTCTCCTTTCCCTGGAATTGGCTGGCTTTGCTCTTTCATGGCTCTGTCCCTGGCAGAGAGGGCAAGGGCTAAAGGGGAATTGGGGTCCAGTATTTTCCCTGTCAGGGGATGAACATAATTATCTAAACCAGTATTTGGGGTTGTCAATGCACTGTTTTCAGAACTCGCTGTGGTTTGGACTGAAGAGTTTGGTGCCCTTGGGTCGTTTTGGTTATTTGATTCACTGCCATTGAAAATATTTTCAGTCTCTCTAGGTGCTGGGATAGGAGATGGCGATACAAGCTGCCTGAAGCCCTCTTCGTTATCAAAGAGCCCCTCATCGCTGAACTTAGACTGTCTCATACGTGGAGTTGGAGGGGTTAATCCAACATCCTCGTCTCCCAAATCTGTGGAAAGGAAAGCTGGAGAATTGCGCCTGGCTTCTAATCTTTTCTCCCTATCCCTCACTGCTCCAGCAATGGCAGCTGCAAAGGGGCTGACCGTCAAGTTGTCTTCGGGTCGCAGCTGTCCCGGTTGCTCTGAAGACTGGGGGTCGATTTCCATGCTGCTTCCTTGACTGCTTTTCCCACTACTGCTGGTAGATGGCTCTTTCACAATGATGGTTGGAATAGGAATGGAGCAAGTTTTTTCTGGACTGTCCTCAACATTAGACTGTTTCACTAGCATTCCCTTCCGTCGGGCTGGTTTGGCTGGAACATACATCACTTTGCTGGCTATTTTTCCAACTTCAGAGTAAGGATTCTCTGGCATATGACCTCTCTTGTTTCTGAAGTTGGCCTGAGTTGCGGCATTTCTGCTGTATAAGTCCTCAGAATCTAGAGAATAACGGTCCATTTCTCTCCGGTAATATATGCCTTTGTCTCTGATCACAGTCCCCATGTTTTCAGACCTACCTGAAACAGCTATCTTTGAACCTGGATTCTGATTAAAAGCAGGCTTAATTGTGCCATACATTCTAGATACTGGAGATTTGGGAGAGTTGTAAAGAGAAGGAGAAGGAGGTGGTGGTGATGGAGGTAAAGACTGTGGTGGAGGGGGAATATCTTCTGAAGTATCTGGCATTGATAGACTTCTAGTAAATTTGAGCATGGGAGGAGCCAAAAATTGCCGCTCTTCTTCTGTTACCCCTTTAAAAAAAGATACAATGTTTAAATTGTCATTTCTTTTCAATCCAACATAATCACATATAAAATAAATGTAATATTATTTGTACTGTGCACCATAGAGTTTTATAATATGTCTATTGTAGTATTTTCCTGTACTAGAACTTGATTCAGGGACTTTTCATTTATCTTTTGTGTACTGAACCTTGTAAATTCCTGCAGACAGTTGTTCTTTACCTAAAGCATGCATAAAAAGAGATCATGCAAAATTAAAAAGAAAATTAAGCACTTAAAAAAACATATCTTTATGCACTGTGGCCATTAAGGAACAGGTTGCTATGCATGAAAGAAAATAAAACAATTCATAATGCATGACAAAAAGCATAATTTAGAGGAACTGTGAAATGTTTATCCAAATGTTATAAGGAACGATGCATTAAGGCTGCTAAATGTTGAATGAGATTCTAAATTTCATGCTGGAAACTTAGAAGTTAAGTATTAATCAGAAAAAGAGATTGCATAGGATATTGAATAACATTTTCCAGCAGAACATCAAAAACTAGTTCTTTCATTGCATTAACTAAAGTTCTAATCATCACAATCCCTTATGACATTTAAAAAAAATATTAGTTCTAGCTAATAATCAGTCAGGATTAAAGACAAACATAACAATAAATTGGTATTCTCATGTAATAGCAATTTATTGTTTAAAAAGTTAGTATTCCTTACTGATGTGCATATACAGTAGTATCTTACCTATTGATTTTTGTCTTCTTACTGTACCTCGTGGCACACCCAGAAATGGGCCTTGCGGACTTCCGGGTACTGTTGGTGGCATCACAGCAATCCCTTGTCTTTCATACATGGACTAGGAAAAAAAAAAAAAAGTTAAAAGATTTAGCATACAATATTTAAGTTGTGCTTTGACATTTAGTATTTATTTTACATGAAACCATCTATATTTCTTCTATGCTTTGCTTTGTTGGTCCATCTTCTCCCCATCCTGCTGACCTATAACAGGAGTGAGGAGCTGAATTTTCCCCAATGGCTAGATTGTCCCCATGCTATTCTTTAGTTGCTGAATGAGGTCATGGACAAAGAGTCAGAGAGGAAAAGCCCATCATGCAAAGCAGTGGTGAAATCCAAATTTTTTTACTACCGGTTCTGTGGGCGTGGTTTGGTGGGCGTGGTGTGGCTTGGTGGGCGTGGCAGGGAAAGGATACTGCACAATCTCCATTCCCACCCCACTCCAGGGGAAAGATGCTGCACAATCCCAATTCGCACCCCACTCTGGGGCCAGCCAAAGGTGGTATTTGCCAGTTCTCCGAACTGCTCAAAATTTCCGTTACCGGTTCTCCAGAACTTGTCAGAACCTGCTGTATTTCACCCCTGATGCAAAGCCTTGCTACTTAGGCCCCAAAAGTTTCATCCTTCTGGAATGTTCTACACTTGTATAAATCTATACGGTACATGGAAGGAAAAAAATAAACATTAATTTCTTTCAATCCATGTATGAAGAACCAAATCACTTTTTTTTAAATTCAGAAAAAAGTGAGAAACAAATTATCTCCGATTCTTCTTTCATAGTGAAAAAGCACTCTGTGTAAAGAGGCAATAATCTTTAGATGTCTGAAGAAGGAAAAGCTGCTTGAACTATGTAAAGTTTTATTTAGTAATTCCCATTTTGCAGGAGAGCAGTTAAGGAAAAAATCATTGCTCTATTGTCAACTTAATGGGAACCTTCAATGCTTTGTCTTCTAAAAAGATGCAGAAACTAGGATAGAAGACAGGAAGGTCTTTATAGATGTTTAGCCTGCTATATGTTAACCTGGTAAGCTGTCTTGTCATCTGTCCACATGAGGTTAACCGAGTACAGAAATGTGTGAGTCATTAATTGCCATAAGAGCTTGGTGCTTTTTAAGCAATTTGAAAAATCTGAGCCATGGTCTTTTTGTTTCTTGCTTTTAGCACTTTGCTACCACTTGTAGCAGGAAGACATCTAGAAGAAACTCATTCCCTATGAGAAGACAAAGAGAAAAAGCAGTAGAGTACAGGATGCAATCTTGTATCTCACCCCCTTAGGTGTTTATCATTCTCTCTCTTTTGCAAAGCATTTTATATTCTGTTTGGCTAGCAGAAGCAGAATAACAGATTTGGAAGGGACCTTGGAGGTCTTCTAGTCCAACCTCCTGCTCAAGCAGGAAAGCCTATATCATTTCAGACAAATGGTTGTCCACTCTCTTCTTAAAAACCTCCAGTGTTAGAGCACCCACAACCTCTGGAGGCAACTCATTCCACTGATTAAATTATTTGCCACCCCCAAACTTTAACACCATCTGAACATTAGGATGGATTCCAGTCTAATTAGACTAGATTCAGAAGCAGGATTTTAATGCTTTTTTGTTTTTTACTATGTCGGAAACGAAAGACTTCTCACTGATTCTGAATAGCTTTCCATATTTGAATGAGAAATTTCCAGGGGAATTTAAAATTCATATGTACTCATATTCTAGTAATGCACAACAGAATCTACTTAGGCACAGTTACGAATAGTAGAAGAACAGCAAGTGCAGAAAGAATTGGTCACTGTTCTCCTGAACTCTATACCTTTTTGACTAGCCCTATAATACCTACAGATATCTTTGGGAACAACACTACAAACAGCACAGCCATATTGTAGTTATCCTACCAATATTAGTATTGTTGAATCCACACACATTTTTGGTTTGAAGTGCAACTTGTCTCATCAATGCTGCATAGAAGTCATGAGGGAAATACATTTCATGGGTTTCTGACAGGGCAGTTTTATTCTGTACCCTGAGAACAGTTGACTTTTGGGGTTTTAATTTTGAAGGTTTGTGGCTGTCCTCTTGTCCAGACACAAAACTTGTTTTTTTTTCCTTAAAGGCAATGAATCTGATATAGTACATGTGAAGAAAGTGCAAAATACTCTGGAGAGGAATAAAAGATAGGCCATAAGTACTTGTACACACAAGCCAATCAAAGTACCACACTGTAGCTAATAACAAGTATTGCATCATAAAAAAAATGTCAGTTTCAAAATAAATAGAAATAGTAGTAGAAGAAGAGGAGAAGGAAGAGGAAGATGGAGAGGGAGATATGAATCACATTAAACATCAGCAAGTTATTCAAATAAAAATAGGGCACTACCAGAAGTGACTTCAAAATTACTCAAGAAATCAAAGTGAACCTCCCACCCATCTGTTAATGGAATGTTTCTATTCTCTTTGGTTCCTGTTGCTGTGATAGCCAAGGCTTAGTGGTAAAACTGAAGCCAAACAATTCTGTGGAAACTCAAGTTCATCATAATTATATTATAAAAGCCATTCCTAAAGGAAGTTATCATACTAATTATTACTGTGATCCAAGATACTGACAAGTGATAATTAGATGGGATTACCAAAAATAGCAACTTCTATTTTCCTCATGCCAAATCTAAATGCTCTTTTGCTTTATTAATCTATTCCTCTTTAATGCACTTTGAATCTACATATTTATACTAAAAGCTGCAAAGAGAATTCAGGTAATTCTCTGTGGCTTTTTCTAGAAGCCAAATCCTGCCACAATAGTCAGATTAAACATCACATTTAGTAATAGAATCCTACCCACTTAGTATTTATTGAAATGTAGGAATCTACGATGGACCCAGAATCCTTGTATTTAATTTTAAGAAAGGAGAATGGACATAACTGAATGCTATCCATTATAAGAGTTTAGATTTAATTCTCAACAGCAACACAAACCCTTTGTACATGCTGATGTAAACCTGAAGTGGTCTGACAATCTTGCATCAGCTCTTGGTCCCAAAAATTATTTTATTACAGCCTGACACTGAGTGCATTATGGAACTCATACTTTCTAGTCACCCACAGTTCACATGGATAATTAATCTTTTTGGCAGCGTACATGACTAGAAATGTATTGCAAAATAAGTCATAATCACATATCCAAATATGCTTTTTAATCCAGTTTTCCCAACAAAAGTGTTGGGAAAAAACGAAGACATTTTTACAAATATACTTTTCTAAAGAAAGTATATATTTTTCTGATCTGTTCTGAAAGAAGACATTGTGTAGGATAAATACACATTAATGACCTCTTTGTGGCCTCATTAATGACTTCATAATTAAAACAATGCTTTATACTCACAAATAAACTGTAATTGGTATCAACTACTTAGCAAATTGCTTTATACCAAGTCAGAATATGAATCAATCAAATTCAATATTTCTAATGATGATTTCTTATTATTATCTAGGTTTTGGAATAAGACTATTTCTGGCCATGCCTGGAGGTATTATGGATTTTTATTACTGAGCTATATTACTTCTTCTAGAGTGTTTTGTATCTGTTTTGCTCCAACAGATCCTTATTTGCTAGAGAGAAAACAGTTGAATTCAATCTCAATAATATGTGGCATAAAATTATTATAAACCAACAGATAAAATAAATATCTAAAGGGATGACTTGAATATTTAGTTTAAGAGGAAATAATATGACATCAATGTATGAAAAGAGGACATTTTATGTTATATTATTGCAAATAATAATGAATATCACAACTGAAAATTAAAAATATAGAAATATTTTTTTAAAAAGATCATGGAAGGATATATATGTCCCTTAAAATTATTGCTGCTGTTTAGTGCCAGTTTATGTTGTCATGTTGTTTATCATAATATTGCATAAAATATGGTGAATTTAAGAGGGATAAGCTTAGGTGCTGAGTGCATGAGTAGTCATTACAGAATCCCCAAAATAATTAAAATCAGAGGACTTTTTCCTATTAGGAATTTGAGGGGGGGGGGGAGAATCTTTACTTAACCAAAGCTCCCGTAATTTAAAGGAAATTTATTATAAACACCACTCACATTCATATCGGTAGCTGAGGGAAAACATCTACTAGAAGGTCGTTGTTTAATTGTTGCCACTCTGGCGTCCACAACTGCATTTTCTGGAATTCTTGATGGCTTGGAAACTGGCACTATTTCATCAGTTTTATCTGTAACACAGAAATATATGCTAAAATAAATTTAATTTGTCCAAAAACTGAAAAAATTAAATGTTGCGATGTAAAATATAATTTAATTTTTTTAAAGATGCAAAGAAAAAGGGGATTTTGGCAATTTAACAAGGCAATGCTTGAACATTGTAAGTCGTGCAAGCCGAGCAATTTTATTGCTGCTGCGTAACATGCATGCTTTAGTTTTAAGCCTGCATGCATTTAATGTTTACTTAGTGTGACTTGAAAAACAATCCTCTTCTTCAAACCTTCAAAATGTGAAGGGAAAATATCTATATAGAAATGGAAAGAAAACCTTTAGAAATAGTATATCTGCAGAGAACTGTTCCACACAGTAGTCATGAGAATGTTACTGAATATTTAAAGGAAAGTAGGCATTTTGAGTGCCCTATGTATTGCTGCTTTACTATCAAATACGGACGTTTGGCACTTCTGTAGTAAGTATTAATATTCTGAATATTAAAATGATTTTTATTTAGGTCCAATGAGGGGGCTTTGAAAGCTTCAATGAGAATTTTCCTATGAGCCTGACAATTAGTCTCTCACAATGAATTCTCATAACCATACTGCTATTTATGAACCATTTTATTTCAGCCTGAAATACGATTGTGCATTTGTCCATCAGGGAGCAGTCATGAGAGAATAACCATAGAATCAGATTCAATTACTGAATCTGACAACAAATCTTTAAAGTGTGTGCCGAGTACAGCTATCAAATTATAAATTTGAGACCATGACAGCAGTCATGGTATGATGACTTCATAATGGACAAAAGGTGGAAAAACTGATCTGGGCTGGAGGAAAGAAAAGAGACTATAATAGACAAAACTGTCATGAATCTTAGCCTTCAGTTTTAAATGCAAAATAGATCTCAACGGCATAAATTTTATCTACCTTTTTTGCAATATGGTAAATTTGGATCATGTAGTATTGTCAAGATACACCTAATTACAACCATATATCAAAACAAAGGGAACTGCTGTGAGAGTTATTTTTAAAGATACAAGAGAAATGCTTAAATCAAGAGTTAGACTGCAGTTGAAATACAGCATTACAGTTGTGTGAAACCATTCCTTTGCACTAATAATAAAACCAAGCCTCTTTACAGACTAGGATTCAACCTATACTAATAATATTTTTCTTTGCAATACCTTTTATGTTAACATTCACAGTGAGATTAAATTACAAGCACCACTTATGGACATCCATTTTGAAAAAAATATAGGAAATGGTAATAAAATTAACACACAACTCTTCTTAACCCAGGACTTGTATACACAGAAAATATGTATACCTAAAAAATTGAATAACAGCTAGAAAAAACTTTATAGCTTATCAAATTTGTTACTTCTATCTCATTAGCAAAATGAATTTAAAATGTAAGTTTTCCTGACCATTCTTCTTTCTTTCTTTCAGTGAAAATTAGAATAACTGCACTACAAATTACTTTGTGGGAAAGAAAAAATGGAACCTTAATGCTTAAAACAGCTATCTTAATTTTTTAATGGCTGTTTCACCCATGCAAAGTACCGGCATTATCATAGTGTTCCCAATGTTTGCATACAAATTCACTCCCTAAACATTTGGATTAGAGTAGGATAAGGAAAATAGATTTTAATGTACCATTTCTAGTTAAGTGCAGAAATGCATCCCAGTTTAGGATTTTATGAATATGCAATGTGCACATGGCGGTGCCTGTATATATGAATGTTATTTACTTCCCTCCAATGGTTGGAGGTGGTCTGTGAGCATTTTTGCATATAATATCAATGGTATTTAACTATGCCCTAACCACTGAAATGAATAGGGAAGATCTTGTGCTAGCTGAGTTTGGTGTGTGCATTATATCTTTATGCCCATAGGACTAACTGGATTAAATGAACAGTATTTTAATAAATTAGTTTTCTTAGCACTGGATAACTGCTCTGGAAAAGGAGCCTCTTAAGTTGTTGATGGTTCTGTCAATGTTATTATAACATTGACAGAATCATTAGCAAATATCATGCCAGTCTACATCTTGTACTTCTTGCTTACCTCCTTCAAGCAAGATTAAAAGATACATTTACATTCAATTTAGCAGTAATCCAAACTGTGTTTTTTCAAACTAGGATAAGCCCTTGGATATTAAGTAAAACATATTATCTACTGACTTCATTTTAAACATTTGGGTATGCTGGCATATCCACCACCAAGAACTTCAAGAAGGAAGATTTCATGTTATGTTTCTCCAGCCCTATCAGCGATCCATAAAATACTCTAGGGATCAAGTTAGAGTTATTTTCAAAATTGAAATTATCTGTCACTTAAAGTCTGTAAATTATCTGTAAATGCCACAAAACAATTCATTGTTTTAGAACTAAACAGACAGCCATAACCTTATAGCTAGTCAGATAATGAGAGCTACAGGAAAACAATGAAGGTTTGACGGACACTTGAAAAAGCATGGATATAATTACTGCAAAATTATGAGAACCATGCTACTGATTTTGCAAGACTGTACTGAAAGTCTGACCAAAGCAGTAGATTTGACTACAATAAAAGTTTGCAAATATTTTCTAATACATTCATGTATTGCAGCCACACATTATATCATTGGCATCTATCTTTTGTTGATCTTACAGCCTCTGTTCTCAATTTATTTTCCCTTGTCCAACAATTTCTTTCATTCAGTGGGTGTATTATGCATCTTTCCAATTGTAGATAAGAATAGTTAGAAGTTAAATTGGAATGTGAGAAAAAAAAATTGGCTTCCAGATAGTATGAAAAAAAGGCCCTGGATACTTTGGCTGAGTAGACACTCCAACAGCGGTTCTGATAGCATTGCTAGGTGCTAAATGGCTTGCAACTGTGTGTTTGTTTTTTTAAAAAGTCACCATAGTAAAGTAATACAGGTAGTCCTCGACTTCCGACCACAACTGAGACCCAAATTTATGGTGCTAAGTAAAACATTTGTTAAGTGAGTTTTGCCCCATTTTACTACTTTTCTTGACACAGTTGTTAAGTGAATCATTGCAGTGGTTAAATTAGTGACATGGTTGTTAAGTGAACTTGGCTTCCCCCATTGACTTTGCTTGTCAGAAGGTTTCAAAAGATGATCATGTGACTCTGGGACACTGTAACCGTCATAAATATCAGTTGCCAAACGGCTGAACTTTGATCACGTAACTATGGCAAATGCTGCAAAGTCATAAGTATGAAAAAGGTCATGTCATTTTTTTCAGTGGTGTTGTAACTTTGAACAGTCACTAAATGAACTGTTGTAAGTCGAGGACTATCTGTACAATGGGATGAAATAAATCCCTAAAAGAAATGTGTTAAATTCAGAAAGAAGTTCATTCTTTCAAATAAAAAATATGTTGTTTCTTTGAAGAAACTGAAAAATAATTACAATTTGCAACCATACTTCATTGGTATTGTAAAATTTGCATAATTTTCACTTTTACATAATTTGAATTGACTCCATTCTCAGCTTTTACCACACTTTTAAAGTGACATAAGGCAAACAAAAAACATAACAATATTGCATAGCTATGCTGAAATAGTCTTCTAGGTGTTTCTGAAATTTTATGTCATTTCCCGTTAAGACCTGTGTATTTTGTCTCTGTGTCAGTCTTTGAAAGCTAAACCTTAAAATATTTGTCAAAGTGGACTTTTTATCATACTATTAATATAATGCCATTTTTGCAAGGAAGTATGTTCCTGTATCAGTGAGAATGAGTCTTACATGCTTCAGTTTAAAAGAGTTTATTTACGAAAGTTTCTGTTAACATGTTAAACAAACAAAAATAAATAAAAACAGGCACAGATGGGGCGCAAGTCATACAGGTGTTAAAAGTTACACCTGCCAAGTAGGATGCATTTGAGTACAGGGCCAAGACAGAACACCCTTGGAAGTGCCCTCTTCATCTGAGAGTTACTGGGTCTAGATTCTCTCAGGACAAGTGTTTGACTCAAAAGTTGCGCCTGCAAAGTGCCTGCGGTCAGAAGGTTAGCTCACACCAGCTGCATTTCATCATTAGCTCAGTCATTTAGCAAAAAGCAGCCACAAGCATTTCTTTCACTTGGGAACACACATGGCTGGTTTGTACTGCAGCAAAATGCTTCCTGACTATTTCCCTTCAGACTCAAAACAAAAGGGAGCAGAGAGGGGACCGTTGATATATGCACACAGAACACTGATATATGCACAAACTTGGTTTTACTTATGGGTTTGACAATATATTCCGGTCACTCTAAGAAAGTCAATTTAAACACTGAGGTTCAAAGGTCAACTATTCAGGGCCTGTACACAGTGGTATCTCGCTCAATGATCAATTTGCTCCTGAAAAGGGAATCTTTAAACAATAATCTAGGATACCACCTTGAGGGCCATCTTGTATTCTTCATCTATATAAGAGACGATTTGGAGTTCCATAATATTAACCAGCCCAGTCCCAACCATATTAACTGGTTTTTCCTGCCCTTACTGTATTATTCATCTGCCTGGAGCTCCCTGGCCTGAAGGGAGAGGAGAGAGAGATTTTTATCACAACACACCCATTAGGATGCTGAGCTATTTTTCAGACATTGTGGCACAGTACTCAACAGCATGTCATGACTCTTACATTCTGACGAGGTCTGGCTATAAGGAGAGTGACAACTTTTAACTTGCATAATTCAATATCTGTGATTTTATCAAATATAGTTTCTCCTACAAATACTGTTCATTGTTGAAAGGGTGTAAGCACATATTATTTTTCCTATTATTAAATATTCAAACTCAGAGGATAACCACGTTACCCACAAAAGACCCTGACAAGTAAAGAAACTTCTGAAAATGTCATTCCTGTGCCTAAAAAAGTTTGCTGGCACATTTTTGTATAAGTCACAAATGCTGCAATTGAGTCCTGGCATGTTGCAGACTGTATAACCAAGCCAAGATAGGCTTGGCTATGGGCTAGAGATTAATCTGGTCAGACCCACAGAGGATAAGAATGATCATGATCCAAAAAGGCACTTACAGGTTAACCTCAGGCCAGCATGCCAGAAACACCAGGCAAGAGACTACTCAAACACGGTTTCTAAGGTGGGGATTGTCAATATCCACATACTTACCAAGAACTTCAGTATGCTTGTTCAGAGGGAAGGGGATCATGGAAAAAGAAAACTCAAAAAACAGCTGTGTCCAGAAATGATTTGTATTTGTAAGAAAAGCAATGAATGTCTGGCACAGTGTAAAAAAATGTTCTCATGAAGCTAAAGTGAAAGAATAGAAGCAAATGTTCTTCAAATACCAGCAGCACACATTGTTAACAATGCAAATAGAAACTACAAAATGTTAGACTAATCTAGTCAGCCAGAATATAACGTTAGCCAAATGTAGAAATGGTCAAGTTTTGCCATTCATGGCTGTATGGCTAAGAATTAAAAGGACAGGCACATTAAAAAAAACCTCTTAAAAATACTATCCCTCATGTGATAATTTATTTCTTCTTCCCTCCCCCTTTTGCCTGACGCATGGGCATGGGCAAAGATGCCCTCTCGGTTATGGCTCTCTGCATTCGGCCACTGCGACGAGGCACTGTGGCTTGCGGTGTTTCTTGAGAGTCATTAACCCCTTCATCTCTTGGTAAGTACACAGTGGACATTGCCACTGCATCCTCACCAGTCCACGTTGAGGCACTGGTTAACTCAACATGAGGGGTGGCTCTTTGGGAGATACGAGTTTCAAGGACTTGTGTCCTTGGTTGTTTGAGGAAAGTTAAAATCTCAGACAGGTAGTTATGAATGGCTCTTGTGGATGTTGCCACAATGCCTAGCTGCAACTCCATCCGGCCCATGGACTGTGACATGAGACCCATGGACTGTGCATGCTCTCTCTTTATGTTCTCCAGCAGCTGCACAATCCTACTGTTGGTTTCCATCAATAGCTTTTCCCCCTCTGTCAGCTGGGTTTGCCCTCTCCAACCCTGATCCCTAGAGACAGCCTGAACACCATGGCGATCTTCATTCATTTCAATATTCCCCTCCTCAAGAGAGTCACTTTCATATTGAGTTCTACTGAGAGAGTGATCGCCAGGAGATCGTATGTCCATTGTACACCGTGGAGTCCGCTCTGGTGTTGGAAATCCCTCAAAATCTTCCCCAACATTGCTGGGTGTTTCAGATGATGACAGTGGCCATGGCCAACTCTCCGTAGTTCTGGCTGGTGAATCTTCATCTGAAGCAGGCACTGAGGACTCTTGTTCTTCTGCAGGTGTAGATGGTGAGCTTCCTCTCTGGTGCCTGGGTTGCCCCGAAGATCCAGGAACCTCCCCATCTTGTTCCCCAGTGACATCTGGCAATCAAATAGAGGAGCAACAACCACTGTATCTGAGGCCAGGAAGATGGAGGAATCTACATACATTGGACAACACACAAAAAGAAGCCAGTTGGGAAACCAGAGTGTTTGTGTTAGGGCTGTCTAAAATGTAGAGACTGAAAAGTGCAGGGAGTGCTGAAATTATTAAAATATCATAAAATGCACACTGTCCTGCACCCATAACACATACCACTAAGCTGGATCCCAAGGCACAACTTTCAATACACTTTTTTGTGATTGTGACATAAATGTCTGTGAACCTATCAAAAAGCTCACCTATGCACTGTAGTGATGTCACAGTCAGAAATCTCTGGGATGAACTTTGGGTCAATTGTCCAAGCGACCTGAGCTTCCTGTGGTGTCAGATGAGCTCCACCACTGGATTGTATGCAGTCATTGAAGCACTGGTTGCTATCTTCTCTTTTGTCCGTCGTTTCATCTCAGCCCTAAATCCCTTCCAGAATTATTGTCACAAAATCAGTGTGACCATTAATCAAATTTATCCTGTGAACAATGTCTCTTAGCCTCTCATTGTCTGTATACATACTTCCTTTCTGCTATTTGTACACTATGGGCATTGTTCATCAGGATTGTTTTTCTTTCTTTGAAAGTATTATTTGACTTGTGCTTCTCCTGATTCCTCACTTGAGAAATTTTGTAAAGAAAATACTAAACATTTTTTCCATGTTTGACAAAGAAAGTTTAAATACTAAATCAAGGCCATATAAGTGGAACCCTTACAAACGATGTCAAATCACATGTGCACTAAATCAAATGTATTCCTGAACACTTGCAAATAGTTATAAAATGCATGCAATTCATAGACAGACTATTATGATCTGCACAGTAATTCTTTAGCATATCGAGACTAGCAAAGAATGAGAAAATATCTTGTTTTGAAAAAAATAAAGTAAGCCTTCTGCCTCAGGGACAATTCAGCCATTTACAATTTTCTGAGAAGTCCACTGGAATGATCATAATAATCACTGCTTTAAATTATCACACTTCCCGCTTTTAAGAAGAGTTGTGTGTGAACATAAATTTTATTAGCTTCTTCTTCTGATCATTCCTAGTGAACTTCGTAGTTGGTGCTAAGTAATTTGCACCAATTTGTATGATTTTTCAAATGTTTGAATTTTGTTAGGTGTAACTCCTGCTCATTGAAACACACCACATGCTGCTCTTATCAACTTTATCTGGAGTTATGTGTTTGCGCTAGAGGGGCATGGGTGTATGTAGGTCTCGTATTAAAAAGGATGATTTTATATATTATTCCTTAAAACAATCCCTTGTAATTTCAAATAAGGAAAGGATTCCTGTTATGATTATGGGCAATTTCCAAATGTTATTGTAATTTACCACCCAAGATCGTATATCCATGTATATTTAAAGGAAACTGTAAACTTCATGATACTAGTAAAATGAAGATTTAATCTCAACAATAAATGTTACTGTAAAAACTAATTATTTCTCCATCTTGAAATTAAAATATTCATATTTGGTTTGTGTTTGTGAAGACTGTCCAGTTGCATGTTTTATGAAAATCAAGGATGAAGTTGTGTTTATATAAGAAGCATGAGAGGACACTGATGAAAATGGAAGAGGTGGGGGTGCCTAGCAGCATGCAAACCTTGGAGGCTCCACTGCATGGAAATTTTTTAAAAGGGCCTTTGTAGGTAAATTTGGTGTAATATTTGCTGCTTTTTCATTTTTATCCTCACTTTTGCTTCACTAGTACAGCATCAGCTGTGACCACTGACTCCAATTTCCCTCAGAGAAATGGGCCACAAGTTCATGCATTAAAAAAGTTAGGATTCTTTTAATCAAATGAGCAAATCATTTTTAAAAAAAATAATTGTCTCTACTCAGACTACCTTGGTCTACTATACTACTACTTACTTTAACCATTCATAATGTTTGAGATGTAAAGAAATCTGTTTTAAAAGAGTTGTATTAGATGACTTCCTATTTTTTAAATGCTGTGCTTTCAACACTACCATATGCATACTGTACGTATAAAGTACTACTGCGTCATGTTGAACATAACATTCTACTAATGATAAGACTCGTCAAATGAGACATCAAAATATTCTCTGGATGTCTGGAATAGTTGGAGGGAAAATTGTGCCTTACAGTGCGGAAATTGGCAATCGTTGTTCCAAAGAAAGCATTTCATTATTAATGTTTTTTTGTTCATATATTGTCAGGCATTCTTTATATTTTTGGTTTTGTTGTTTAGAGTAAACCTACCCAAAATGGAAAGTGGTAGAACTTACATAATAATCTAAAAGCCTGAACTGTGATTAAAATATTCTGATCACGTAATTACTGGGGGAAGCATGTTATCCCTGGTTCATCTACTAGGAATCAATTTCATAAAATTGAAACAACTGTTTACTACAAATATAGGTATTTGTTGCAATATCTGTAAAATATCTTGTCTCCTAATCAGAAAGAGAAGACACACTGCTACATGGCATGTGTGACCACTCACATAAATAACCACCAGGGGGAACAGAAACTACAAATTCTATGTGGATTTAAGTTCTAATATCACTCTTGAATATTTAAGATCCATGAATACATTGAAGATGATTTGTAAAACTGCCTATTAACAAGGAAAAGGCTTAATCAAGAGATAACACTAACAATAAATAGTAAAAGCAACTCCAATTAACAGGATTGCAGTATTTACTATTAATATTGATACAAAAAACAAAAATAGTATTGCAAGAATGACTTTAGCCTGCTTTTCATTCAGTGACATGGCAATTTAAGAAAACTGAGCAAAACTGAACAAAATTCATCAAGCTCTGTTTAATAGATGTTATCCCTGCCATTCACAGATTGATATGATAAAATCAGGATTTCAACCTGTTAAGATGATGACACTAGCTGCTGTGTTGGTGGTGTGGAAAAAGGATATTTAACAGAATGGAAGCAATGGAAATTTTGTGTGCCTAATAATTTTGCTGCCCAATGGCAGAAATGGATGATCAGATGGCTTGCTCCTCTGGGCCCCATGATTAGGAAACACACTTCCAATATTTATGTATTTGCCTAATTGATATGCTTCAGTTTCAGATCCTTGACTGGTTCTTGACCAGAATCAAGACTCAAACTTTTAAGTGCTGCATTTAATTTTATGTGTCTGAAAATTGTTAACTACAGGGAATGAATAAACAGTAACATGTCAACACGTTACTTGGCATGTAGAGACTATGCTGAAGTTATCATTCATGTTTAGTGCAGATTCAACACTACTGATCTCTTAATTATAGTTAAGAAATAAGGAGTAACTTATAGCATATGAGCCCCTTCAACCTCCTCTCTTACTTTGCCAGTTTATGCATGGTTTATTGATATATCTGCAAAGAGATCACATGGCTAATGCTAAAGAATTTAATTGTCAAACCTGATTTTAAAAAAACTGATTTTAGTAACTTATTTTACAGCCATGGTTAATCGCACTGCAGATAATAGTGTGTTTTTTTTTGAAATTTACATTCCAAAGGGAACAGAGTTTGGAACAATTTACTTTCTATATAAAAAGATACATAGATACCAACTGCCAACAAAATATAGAGCTTTAAAATGAATTAAATCATAAACATTAGAAAGAAGCAAACAAAACCAAGCAAAATGATAAAACATGCTTCAAGCTGACAAAAGGGGTAAAAGAAAATTACCATGCCTGAGACAAAAGGAAAGAGAGGATAGAGTTTATGAGTCCATGATCAATTCCTTTTAACTATAGTTAAAAAACCAGCAGTTGAATATATCTGCACTCTAGCTCAATATATTCTCAAAGAGCTTCTATCTCCATAGCCTGTTTTAGACATATAATAATGAATCAGCATCTGGGTTCCTGATTCCTAAAGATCTGAACTCATAAATATTCCTTAGTTTCAATTTATCTCAACGCACATTTCAGAATGCTTAACTATACAGATGTATATGAAGTAGATTGGGAATGGGAAAAGGGGGGGGGGAAGGATGGGCCAAAGATCTGATAATTTGGACTTCTTATTCACTATTTTTTATCTGATGTTGTGTTTAACTTAAAAACAAAACAAAACAATATCCAGAGTGTTCAGATTGTTTAATAATAAATCACTCTATAATAAGGGCATGTTAAGATTGTTCCCTCTTCTGACTGATTAGATGCCTTCTTCTTTTCTATGATGGCGTAAACAATTGGATTTATACTTGGGAATATTGTTCAGAAAGATTGCATCTCAAGATTCTCTGCTTCAAGAATTATAAACTTCTGATAACATATCTTATGTGCATGTGTTGATGATTCATATTTTGCCCATGTCCTTCCCTATGAAAGGACTCCGTTCTGGATAGAATGTCTGTCAAATGCTGCCAGAAGTCAGGACTACACCACCTCCATAGATGCTTGGGTAGAATCATGGTGTTGGAGTACTGCTGGCTCCTTGCATCACAGAAGTCATTATCAGAATAGTCATTTTCTTACTTTCTCAGTAAATGCAGGACACATATTATAATTTATTTATGATTTAAAATCCACAAAAAAATAGCAAGGACAACCTAGCTGTAGAAAGTCTATGGAAACAGTAGACTCTAAAGAACATTTTTTACAATAGAGGCATTAGTTTAAAAGAAAACCTAATTGGTTTCACTGAGAATAGTAGACTCTTATGCCCATCTTGAGTCTTACCTGCCACTTGTATTGGCAGCTGATCCCTCCCCTGTGATGTGCTTCTCTCAGAGGCCCTCCTTTTGAGACCCCACCAGATTTTTCATCGCTATTGATCGCTTTCTTTTCCTTATATATTCTTCCCTTTCCCCCCATATGAACATCAGGACTGTAGAAGTAGGTTTGATCTTCTTGCTGCGAGATACACGGAAAGTTCTTTGGGTACAATAAATACAGCTAGCAATGCAACAGCCGTAGTAATATACTTGAGGGTTGTCTTGAAGACCCAGTTTGTTGCTCTGCATTTGAGCTCATGTTTGGATCATGCCCCTTCTTCTTACACTATTCAAGATGCTTCAGATATGGCAGAAGTTTTTGAAAACCTAAGATAGATACAGATAAAAACTACCAACAAAATAATTAATACAAAACTGGGTGCAATTTCCATTGCACCTTTACATAATGACTTCTGGTAGGTACAATACACAATTGGGGGTAGTTATGCAAATATTCCTTCTGCACGCGGTTGTTTTCAAATGTTGTATGATAAGAACCATGTAAACATAAAACTTGTGAGGGGATGTGATTTCACATGCTGGCCTATGAGTCTGTACGTGTTAGGATTTATGTTTGTACATATACACACATTACAAAACCACCATCAGTAGTGTAAAATGTACCTGTGGTGAGAAATTATATAGTTAATTTCTAGACACGAAGTCTCATGCCATAAAATTCCCAGCAGTTGTTTCATTAGTGTTTCCTAATTCATTAGTGCGAAATAAACATATATATATTGTTTAATATGCACCTGTGATAATCTAAATTTAAAGACAGCATGTAACTCAAAACTCGCATGCTCTTAATAATGTAATTAATTACATTTAAAGAAAAACTCATTTTAAAATTTTTGTATATCTGATTCTGAAAACATTGACATAATTGTCCTTAGACTTGCAAAACAATATGTAGGGATAGTTACATACTTCAAGAGGTTCAGTATGAAAAAGGGGAACAAAGAATGGAAGAGGAAGAATATAGTATATTTACCTGCCCCAGTTAAATCTGAAAAACTTAACCCCTACTTATTTCAGTAATAGCATGTAGCCCATGATCACTCGATATAAGTTTTTTGATATAAGTTTCACCAAATTTAAAAGTTTTCAAAAATTATTATGTACTACATTATCTCATTGGTATGATATTACTTATGTTTTAAATATTTATTATATTAATTTGATATTAATTATTTCCCATTATCAGCAAAAAAAGAGAAGCATTGGAGATCAGATAAAACAAAGCAGCAGCAAGTTTGGACAATTAAAGCTGGTATTCGAAGAGCTGTTTTCCATGCACATTGAACTTCCAGTGCAATTGCTGTTGGATACAACTTGGAAGAGTTTCACAATGTTGTGGGTGGAAATTGAAATCTCTTAATGGATCATGGAAAAAAAAAAAAGCAGTCCCTTGAGTGCCAGGCCAAATATTTTAATTTAAGGGAAATAGGTGGTGACATTATAGTTACAGGAAAAATAAATTATATAAGTAAATATGGGAAAGTAATTTACTACTGCACAATGCAACTAAAAGTTAGTTATTACAAGGATGGCTTCAAATACAAATTAATGTACCTAAGGATAGAATGCAGAACAGGGGTGTCAAACTCTATTTCATTGAGGGCCGCATCAGGTTTATGTTTGACCTCGGGGGCCCATGTGGATGTGGCCAGGTTGGGCGTGGCGAGCTCGACGTCACTCGTGTCAGGGCACCTGTGGCAGCCTGAGCGCTCTGCCAGTGAAAATGGAGCTCAGAGACCCATCTTTACTGGCAGAGGCACCGTCTCTGTTTTGCTGTTTCCAGGGCGGCCCCATGGGCCAGATCTAAGCCCCCTGTGAGCCAGATCCGACCCGTGGGCCTTGAGTTTTACACCCCTGATGTAGAAAGTACTATCTGAAGTAGATTTTTTTCATCAATTATGGATGAAAATAAAATACTTTAAAATAAATTGTTTGAATGCAAATATGTGTGTGTGCGCATGCACATAGATACACACATTTAATTTTAAGATCAAATCATATGAACAAACCAGTTCAAAAGAGAAGAATAAGACATTAGTACTACACTTAACATAAGTAAGTAGAAGACTGGATACAAGTTTTAGCCGGAAAAAATAACACCAGTTATTATCCAATCTAATCTACAATAAAGTTTGAATTGTAACCAATACAATCCACCGGATAAAAGGCTTTAAAAAACCCTTTTAAATCACATGTTGCATTTTAGAACATGTTATGGGTTTATTTATTAATTAAATATACTCAGTTATGTTTAATCAATAATTATTTGATTTAAATGCAGTGTGTGTCCATATGCACATGTGCTAGAGTTTTGGATTTAATTATGAAGCTACTTTGTGGTATTTCAATACAGCCACTCCTTAGAACAGCTGCTTTTTTTCCTGGTGAACACATGCCTGCTCTCTTAGGAAAAGATATGGCTACTTTAAAAAGTTGCAGATAGGTGCTGTAACTGTGCCCCTATAATCTGAATATAAGATAATAAAATGGAGACAATATTTATTTTTAATTAAATATTTTAATTTAAAGGCAAAAACATTCTTCCCATATTTATTTACTAGGGTGTTATGATTCTAAGTGCATCTAATTATATTTGAAGAAGGAAATGAACACCAAAGAGAAGTTGTTTTCTCTCCCACCCCCATATTTTCTCCAACTGTTGATTCAGTATATTGAGGGCGTCTCTGGGACACATTTTAAGGGAACAGCCCCCAACCAGGGACCGGCACCAGGGACCACTTCTGTGGAGAGTTTTTTCCGCGGACCGGAGGGGGCGTTGTTTTGCATGTTGCCTGCATCTCACGGATGTGGCTTTGCTTGTTTGCACTGCCCAGTTCCTGGCACGCCACAGCCCGGTGCTGGTCCATGGCCTGGGGGTTGGATGTATGCCCTATTTTAAGGCATACACAAAGCCATACATGTGTCTGGGTGCACTTCTGCATCCACAGAGGCCCATGAAATTTGAAAGATAGTAAGAGAAATTCCCATGTCATGAATAAATGAGTCCTTTCTTTGAAAAATATAGTCAATAAATTAAAAAAATATATGAATAAGTAAATAATTTTGTAGAGTCAAAACATCATGCAAAATTAAAGTCCACTCAATATATGGCTTGGAAAAATATTAATAATAATATAATATAAACTATTATAATAGAAAGTATAGTCGGAGCTTGGACTACAATAGTTTATGGTATTAAAATTTAGCATGCTGTGTAAATTAGATAAATCATAGTTAGAAGTTTGCTCTGCCTACCCAAGCCAAAAAATACTAATCTTCTAACTTCTACTTCAAGTAATGATGGCTCAACATTCCTTTTACAAAATCAAGACTAAGGAAGTTAATAAATGATTTGGTGTAATGTCTAAATATGTTTTGCAGATTATGGCTTGGGTTATTTTGATTAAACATGATGTGTAAGTTGACAAACCAGTTACATTGTATCAATTTTATGCATATATGTATGTATGTATGTATGTATGTATGTATGTATGTATGTATATATAAAACCATGCTTTATGTTCTAAACTATACTTGATAAAAATACATTTAGTATGATGAATGAAGATGTATTAGAACACTGTTAGCAATATCTTATAAATTATGTGATCACCTAGAACAACCATCAAAAAGTGAGTCCCAAGGGCCACACACGCTAACATACCTGGTGCTTTCCCACTGTCCCCTTAAAATGGGTGAGGTCAAAATATTGACTCTTTTTTTGTACTTTTTAAGGTTTAAAGAGGGTTCATGGCATCCATCATGTAAATGGATGCCAGATGTTCAAGGCACAATTTCACAAAGCTCTCCTCAGTTTTCGTGTGCAGCTAAGCAAACTGTGGAACAGTCCTCAAGTCAAGGAAATATCGATGTCTTTCACCTTGTACAACCCAGGTTGCTGAGAAGATGCCATCACACCCAAATTGTACCTTGACTTTAAAAGAACTTAAGAAACTATATATGAATTTTATATCAGAGCATAGTATAGAAATATATATATATGGAAGCTAAATGCTAATACTAAAACAAAAGATGTTTTAATCCTGTAGGCTTCCATTAGACTTTCTAGAATATCACATGAATTGTTTTAAAGATCTGCATACTGACAGTTATCAGGGTATTTTTTTTTTAAATTTAATGTTATGCCAATGTACAAATATCACATATTAGTTAAAAATCTTATCATTAAAAAATAAAAATTGATAATGGATTAGGAGAGGCTGTGTATAAGAATCATTTTAATAAACTAGTTCTACGTAAGATTTAACAGTAATTATGAAACTCAAAGGAGTAATTTCCCCCTCTTTTTAGCTGTTTTTTATGGATAAATATAAACTCATCCACTTTTGGGAAATAACTACTAATATTGCCTGTTGCTTCTATTCTGATGAAAAAAAAGATTATTTACATACAATCCTCTCAAACCCTTCTTAAATGATCATTAAGGGAACTAGAAATATTTTTAACAGCATTATTCCTGAAATACAAGAAATATTACTTGAATTACTTTCTAAATTCAACCATAACCTTTTAGGCTCAAAAGAAAGTAAAGCTTTTCCATTCTGAAATTAAGATTTGCTGAATTTTAGTTGGGGGTTGAAAGAGATGAAATTTAAAAATAGAGATCACTTTTCCAAAAAGCATAGTACTTTTGGCAGAATCCCATGGGAAATAAAAACAAGCCACAAGTTTCCTAAAAGCATTTATTTTATAACTTCCATCAGAAGACCACGGAATGGTTAACAACTGAAGAAAAATGAATTATAGTGAAAAATGATTCCTAGTGAATTTTACAGCACAGCAGCAGTTAGACCACAATGTACCATGGAATCTGAAAGACACAAAGAGATTAAAAGCTTTGAAAAGACATTCCATAGAAACCTTTACACTTGGAAAATCTTAATAAATCCATTGCATCAATTGACTTACTCCTTTTTTGTCAAGCAGTTCAAGAGTTTTTGCTCAGCAAAGTACCGCTACGTACAGTAGCCATAGAACTGTGATCCTCTTGAGTGCCTATGATTCCATTGTTCATTTCCTGCAATGCTTTTTTTTCACCAGGACTGGAAAATCACCCTCAATTATTTTTCTGTAGTGAAGAAAGACAACTAAGTACTTTACGTATTGGGGTCAATGATATGTTATAACCATATGAACATTTTATTCACACATAGTGTGCATGTACAACTGGTAGGAAATGGAGAACTATTTCTGAAAAGAGCATTGAGGTTGCTGTTTTAATGATACATAGCACATGACGATTATTTTTTTGAGACAGAGCAAGGAGTTCTCCCAAAAAGTATCTGAATAGATTTGAAAATCTTACTACCCAGGCAAATCAGAAAGAGAGCCTGAATGGGCATTTGGTTTAAGAGAGAGCTTTAGACAATTATTTAATTCATGGTAGTTTTTCATGGTTTGACCTTTCTTTATTATGGTCAAGAGCAGCAAAAGCTGGAAATGTCACATGCTGCTCTAGGAAGCCCTGGTGATATAACATTTTATTTTGTTACATTATTTTTTTATATGTTAAAAAAGAGTAAAATAAATTCACTATATAACTAATAAATTCACAATTCACCTTATAAACAAATAAATAAATAAAAAATAAATAAAAATAAGGTCAGAAGAGAGTAGCCTCACTGCATATCTATAAGAACATTAAATAAATAAATAACTTGCTTTGATAAATAATAAATAAATAATACAATTTTAATTAAAGGTTGATTTCATTTTGTTTCAACCAATGAACACTTACACAAATATTTTTCAGAAATTCCATATTAAACTTTTTAGCTTCAGAAATATTTATTGATATCTTCCATTAGACAATATTATGACGGCTTGAAGACTTTTGTCCAAAATATCTTCCAAAATTATCCATATATTTGAAGATGTCTGGTTTATCTGTTTGTATTATAGTTGTGCTGTTAACAGCTCTGTAGTTAGTTCCATAATGATGAAATAACAAGGGCTATATTACACAGTCAGTTCAGGGCCTCTACAGTGCCTCTACAGGGCCAGGTTTGAGGCTCAGTTTTATTAAAAAGTATAGCAAATATAGCATTGTTTTGACAATTATTTTTTTAAAAAAATCAAACTTTTTCTTATAGAAAAAGAAATTGACATTGAAAATAGAACAGGCGATAAACATTGTCTCTTTTGGATGACACACAGCAATTAAAAAAACAAAAACCCACATTCTTGATTGCTGCATCTTTGGTTGAATTAATATTTGTAATTTCAAGGGCAAGATCAACAAAAATAGAAACACTTTTAATGTGAAATAGGCTAATAAATCCTGCTTCAAGTCTACAAATTTGTATATATCAATTTAGAACTTCATAAAATCCAATAAATTAATGACATGCACTTGTGTCACATGTTATCATTTTGAAAGGACTTATAAATGATTTACAAGCTCTATTCAGTATAGAAATGACACAGTTAAGTTTTTCTATTTTAAATATTTAACTGAAGTCTTGAAGTATTATCAAATACAATAAATTACCTGTAAGAATAAAGTCTGGTGCTGATGGAGTGACTTCAGAAAACAAAATATAAATAATTAAACTATTTAACTATGCAGAAAACTAACAGATCTTTGGCTAAAATCAGGGATCTATTGAAATAATGTGTGCTCTGATTTATTTTATGAATTAATATTTTTAAATCAGTCAGGTGGGCTATTTTATTTTACTGTTTTGTGTTTTAAAAATAATATTAATTAATTATTAATATTTTTAAACAATCGACTTACATTAATGTTACTGTCAATAAATAATTAAATTACTTAATTTGTTTGAAATTTGTTTGTAGTTTCACAAATATATAGTACACTCACTGCTACCCTTGTAAGAGTATTCACTCAGATATGATCACAGAATTTCCCCATTCATTTCAAAATAGTTACTTTATCCACACACACTTTTATGCATATCAGTTGGGTCTATGCACTAGTTTTAACAGTTAGCACACTACATACATGTATACAAAACATGCAATGGCATTAATCATTTTTGAAGCAGGGCCCAGTTGTTCACACATTATATACAGGAAACCATGATATGTAATTTATTCTTCTTGAATTACTGGAGATACACACCATACACAAATGTTTTATATCAATTATATCAAAATGTTTGCCTTTATATTTATGTTACATTGCTCCTTTTCCAGCATTTTAGCATGACCCTGGAGAATCTGGCTTACTCGTTTCACTTAGTTGTGGCTGATATAAAAAGGTCACTGCAGTACAGAAGTATTTATGGAGTCAGGCTACCATGATGTGTGAATCCTAAATTGTTTTTTCTAAATATTGTTATAGTTATAATAATTATTTTTTAAATATTATTATTATTCATAAGAAAACTATTTTTAGATAGCAAGTAGTTACTTACAACACTAATAGTATATTTCTGAGTTCATCAAGGATATTAAAAAGAAAATATGGGCTTGCAGTTTGAGAAGTTATTACAGAAGTTGTGTAAAATGCAAAAAAAAAGTTAAAAGCAATGGAAACTATGCTATATATTAATATTTTATGGCTTTAATTTCCCAATAAAAATATTATTGACCTAGTCATAGTCCAATGAGTCCAATGAAAGTTCATTGAATGAATTAATCCTCTCGGTATAATGGAAATCTCAGTGTGGAAAATAGATGCCAATAAAGCTTTGCTGGCTATTGAACTGAATGGAACAGTCTCTACATAAAGTACATGAAAAGCTTCTTTGATATATCACAGGACACACCTGTTTTTTAAAATAGGGTTGCACAAAGAACAGTGAATTTATTAATTCTTAGTTTGAGCAACTGATCTTTCAAAGCAGACATTCTAAGGTTAACCTTCATATACGTAGTGAATGCTACAGCATGTGAGTCTGAATGGTCAAACATTAACCTTGAATATCAATAGGAACTATGTTTTATTCAGAAAAAGAAGAATAAGCAGGCACACATTATACATATGGTATAATTAAATTCCAGTACAGAGTCATAACTTCATAAGGCCTCTCAACATGTCAAGGGCTTTTATAGCTACACAGATATTTTTGGTAGACAAGTTGGAACGCCACTATACTAAGTCAATACTGAATTTGGGACTCTTGGCTGAGGATCAATACAAAAAGTGAATGTTCTAGTAAAATATTAAAATAAATAATGAAAGCAAAATTAAGCAAATCTTATTTCAGTCATTTCAAATACCGTTTTAAGACGTTAGTATTATAAACTAGTTTGTAATTTATATGCCACTGGTCTGTAATGTATTTCGTCTTTATGATACATAAAGGATTAGCAATGTGCTGTGTGATCACATATACCAAAATCAAGTACCCTGCCTTGAAGAAAACAGGTGACATAAAAAAGCTTGGGAAGAAACAGGATGCAACCAAACATATGCAAACTTTATGTGCATACATTTAATCTTACTACAAAATGTCCATTAATCCCCGTTAGTCCTTTCATTTAGTAATCAGTTATTGCAAGTTGCACAATAAACTTGTATGCTTTGCAGCAGAGGTGGGTCTCAAGGAGATAAAGGAGAGGAGAGTTGTGACCTTATGGATTAGTTAAAGGGACAGCATTCCATGCACACGGGACAGTGTGGAATATGCTACATTAAACCTGAAATTATGCAGAGCAGCAGTACTCCAGGTAAAGACTCAAAGGGTGTGTGTGAGGTGCCTATTTTTTTTGAGACAGAGGCAGTGTGGTTCTGTGGTTAATAACTGGCCATTAAGCAGGCAAGTTAATTAAGTGATGCAGGACTACACCAAACTCCTGTTACTTGCCACTGTTTCTCATAGGGCTGCTTCACACATGACATGCCAACACGAAGGGAACCATAGTGTAGGGGGAAAAAACAATGGGAGGTGATAATTTTGCCAGTGTCCATTTTGACTCTGTTACATGCATTCTGAAGTGCAGCAGGTTCCAAATACATGGCAGAAGAGACAAACAACACAACATGTGTGTGCATATTTTTCTACGCAAGGAGGCTCCCGTTTGTAAGAAGAATATTATGTATGAAACAGTCCTAATTAGTTGCCAGATAGCACAGTAACCTTGTGGTAATGACGGGGGACAACCAGAAACGGTCTCAAACATATAAAGGGAGAGAGAGTTGGGATGAAGGAGGCAAGGCAAAAGAAGAAAAAAAAATGGGATCATTTATGTCAAACAAGATTTCTCAAGGGATATAATTATTTTATACCTTTGCAATCCATTCTCTAAACAACTAAAACCATATTGATTTATTATTTTGTGATTGATAATTTGAACCACTACATACAATTGTGTATTCCACTTTAGTATAAGATGGTGCAGGAAAAAAAAGTAAAAAAATAAAGAGACAAAAATGCTTCCCCTTACCCTTCTTCTTCCGTACTGAAGCTTGGAAATAGAAAGGGAATGAAAATAAATCAAAATCTGAAGAGAACAGTCTTCTAATAAATGCACTAACATTGAGCATTAGGCACTCCTACCAGTAGTACTGGATGAACTGTATTTAAAAGGCATTAAAAAGTAATTGACTATTTCTAAAATAAATATCTAATTTCAGAAGTTAAACAGCATAGATGGGATGTTTTGGGGGGGGATGCAATTTGAAAGAGACATTCTCAAAATACTTAGAATTTAAAGAGAAATGAACTGTAATCCTCTGGTTATCAATTTCTAATTACCTTTCTGCAAATGTTTAAAGGATTCATGAATAAAATTGTAATTACCAAAGGGTGCCTAATAGTCAGTGAGAATGCAAAGACTTAATGGATAAGAGGCTTCCATATAATCAGGCTATGAATTCTTAAGTTTGCGGATTCCAGCATTGGGATGCCACACGACAACTGGAGGCAGATACCGATATCAACTCTAAAAATTAGCAACATGGCTGATAAAATGTCAGCACATATTGTTTCACACAGAATTACCTGAAGTCCTTTCATTAATATCGACAAAGTTATTTGTGATGTTTAAAAGTATTCAGCACAGACTTTGTTTTCCAGGTCAACGAATGTCTCTCAAATATGGATTAATTTTCAGGATAGCAAAAATTAAATATTTCTAATATATAAAATGTCAGAGTAAGGAATTATCTGAAAGTCAGTGGGTTAAGTGTTTTAGGGGCAAATAGAAAATAAATCCAACCACCACAATGCTTCTAGAGTTGTCTGCTACCTAAAAGCTATAGATATTTCCTATTATTTACACAAGAATAAATTGTTCATCAAACTTGTGGGATATTTGAACCAGTTTTAGGTGAAATAAAAAGGAAAGGGGTGGGAAAATAATGTTTTAAAAGCAGCATAACCGAAGTACATTGGAAATAACATATAGTTAGCATATGCTTTGCACCTAATCTAATTTCTAGCATTTCCACAGTGTAGAAAATGACCAATCTGTGCAGATAATTCATTGACAACAGACAGATATTCTAAGTTGGAAAAAGGTAACTTATTTTCTTAAGCATCTTTTTTTAAAAAAATAGTAAAATATAAAACATATATTTACAATAGTTTACTTAAGAAAGCATACTATTTTAATTAAATGATCTTTATTAATTACACTATGGATGTAGCTATGCTAATTGAAGAAAATATAAAGAATCAAAGAAATAAAGACCAATCTCTCTGATAAAAGAGCATCAAAGCCTTTTTTCTCCAATTACAATCATCTTATTCTCAGTTAATTATTAAGTAGTATTTTATTACTTATTATTATTATTATTATTATTATTATTATTATTATTATTATTACTATTATTATTACTATTACTATTTTGTAATGAATTTGGGAACTTTGCATATTATAGCTCTCTGCCAGTTAGCATACATTTCACTGTGCTTTAACTTATTCCATTAATTGATATACAAACTGATACACTTTCAAAGCACCAAAGTCCTGAAAACATATAGGTTAGAACCAACTACATGAACCTTATGCAATATCAACTCTACAACTAATAGTGCTATGCTTTAATGGTAATTAGTAAAATCCATTGAACGGATATGATGACATTTTCAATTGCCTGTGCTATGCAAGGCAAAGGCCTCTTAAGAACAGGAGGTGGTCTACTAAACAGCACCCATTGCTCCTATAGCATGTATTTATTAAACACATACTTATATCCACACATGTTTTCTCAGAACAATACTCAATTTGCTTCAGTGATACATATGAACTAGCAAGTAAGTGTGCACAGAATTGCACGTTGCATGTATACATTCAAATTCTTTACTACAGATAAGCAACCCAGACTACATTTTAATGTTACCAGATCTCGGTTGCAAGAATGTACACAACCATTAAGTGGCAGCAAAGAGATACAGAAATGTCTAACTCATTATTGCCATCTACTGGTCATTCCACTTTTAAAAATATCTGGTAGTTCTAATGTATTTAGCACTATTGGCAGCATACATAGACAGTGCACATTGTGTATTCTTCTACAGTTTGATTAGAAGTACCTAAATTCAATAAAGTTGCCTAAATATCAATAAAACTTTCTCACTTGAAATTAGTTGAGTTTGAAGTTGATAGGTAGTTTTAATGATATGTGGGAGGGAAAGAACTTGGAAGATGGGACAAAGAAAAGTTGCTTAAAGGTAAAGGTAAATGTTTCCCTCGCACATATGTGCTAGTCGTTTCTGAGTCTAGGGGGCGATGCTCATCTCCATTTCAAAGCTGAAGAGCCAGCGCTGTCTGAAGACGTCTCCGTGGTCATGTAGCCGGCGTGACTAAACACTAAAGACACACAGAACGTTGTTACCTTCCCACCAAAGGTGGTCCCTATTTTTCTACTTGCATTTTTTACGTGCTTTCGAACTGCTAGGTTGGCAGAAGCTGGAGCAAGTAACAGGAGCTCACCCCATTATGCAGCACTAGGGATTCGAAGCGCTAAACTGTCGATCTTTTGATCGACAAGCTCAGCGTCTTAGCCATTGAGTCACCGTGTCCCTTAAAAGTTGCCTAGAGATGGCCAAGAGAAAATTTGTCCCCAATTTTGATTGGCTACAAAGTTTGGATACAACCTAATCTAAGTTAATCATCACAGCTCCATTTCAACCACTTTGCCTGTTTGCTTGTAAATGACCCTTGTCATGGCCCAAGGAAAACTGTTTCTGGACCTTAAAGTAGTTCATGAGTAGAATAATAATAAGATATTAAATCAGCAGTGCAAGACATGAATTTCATTTAGCACTACACACTGATATCTATAATTTCTATATACAGGTCAATGAATAGATTCTACCCACGGCTCATATAAAAATTATGATTAACTTAGATTAGGTTGTATCCAAACTTTGTAGCCAATCAAAATTGGGGGCAAATTTTATAAAATCATCATTTCTATTTTCCTATGAAGTTTCTGCTTGGGAGACTTGGGGAATTCTTCAGAAAAGTGTGGGAGCTGAGGGATGCAGGTAGACAATAGGCCATTGCCTCTCTTCTTTCCCTAGCAAGGATCCTTAATCTCTTCTCTAAAGAGTCATCTTGATTATGGAAGCCTAATTTTGTCATAACAAAAAGATGCTAAAATATTCCATGAGATGACAGGAAGACTTTTTTTCAACAATATAAAAAAGCAACTCAGTCTAAAAATCTAAGATACTGATCTGACTTATAAAACAAGGTCTATAAACCTTTCACAATGGATGAAAAGAGGGTATGCTGTTTTACCAACTCTTGAGAAGGATAATTAAATAATATTCCCAATAATCAAGAAATTTGATACTGACAAAAATAAAACACATCAACACTAGCATGTATATAAGTTCCCCTTATTTTCCCTAAATAGGTAAGAAAATCATTGCAAAACTAAGTTAAAAACAAATAATAATAAAACATTTTTGTCTTTTGTAATAAGAATGGTGCTTCTGTGAAGAAAATTTTAATAAATTTTATAGTCAAGAAAATAAATGCATAGAAAATGTACACATAAAATACTAAGTTTTGTATTTGACAAATATTTTCTTTTGAACTTTTTAGTTTTTTTAAAATATAATTAATTACAAAAAGCTTAAAGGTGTTTTTTTAATAGAAAGACTTAAATATAACTTCTTAATAATTAATTGTGATGGTTAAAAATTGCACCTATTTTATTTATGTATGTTCATATTAAAAGATTATGTTATTTTTTTCCCAAGCATTTGGTTAGTAAGAGAGATCAAGATTCTCTCAAAATGTGAGTTGAGCAGCATAATAATTTAATAAATAACATAAATAAGATTATGAATGAAGTTATTAGGAATCAACCAATTACTCAGTAACTTTCATTGTATTTCATAAGATAACGAAACCAATTACCATGCAATTATTAAAAACAGCAAAAAAACTTCAAAAAATGGTTTTTCTTACTAATACAAATTCCTCAAAACTTTAGTAATAAATAAGCAATTATGATTGGCTCAGAACAAAAAAAAATAATGATAGGAAGTGCACAGTTGCTGCATTTCTGGAAGGATCCTTTCCTTTGCCTAATGGATATTCTTTCTTTGTCAGTTATTAAATGATCAGCAGAGGGAAAAGGCTACAACCCCCACCCCCCATAAAGCAGTTTCCCTTTTTCTATCTTACAAGCAAATGTGTCTGTCAGAGATAATAACTTTGATAGTCGCTTGTTAAATTTGTGCAAAAGCTTCAAATCGGCTTTGAACTGCTGATAGACAGGATCTGAGAGCAGAAATCTGTTTCTATCTGCTAATTGCATTTGGGGATCAAAGTAAAGAACCCCAATGGGAGCTATAGGTACATAGTTGTTTTTTTTTTGTCAGCTTTTTAAAAACAAGGACTAACAGCTTACCTTTATCCACTAATGAGAGGCCACAGAAATTTAAAATAAAACAACATTAGATGAACTGATTAATCAAAAATACAATAAAATAAGCTACAGTTTTAATTTAATGTTTAAATTGATAATGCATATAAATGATAAATACATTCTCTTGCAGAGCTGGAAACAAGGTTATTCATGCTCATCATGCAAACGTGGAGCCTCCAGAAATGCAACATTCCTATGTAATCATTGCAATCCAATGTTCAGTACAAGGTGCAGTTCACTTTCAAACAGTATAACATTGGCTTTACATCTCCATCATTGCAGCATGCTCTTTAAAAACACTTTCTTACCAAGCTCTTCAAGCTCTGAGGTCATTGACTTAGACCGCAAGGTCAGTGCAGTGGTTGGAGCCCGTTTTGGAGGTGGTGGGGCTTTGCATTAAACAGAAGGATATAGATAATAAGTAAAAACACTTCAGAATACATTGTTCAGATTCAATTCAAAATGACATTACTATTTAAATGAAACTTTCAGAATAATTGTTCAGATTCAATTCAAAATGACATTACTATTTAAATGAAACTTAAACTGTTTGCCTCAGTGTCCAAAAGATAAAGTTGTCTGATCTATAGCAATACTTATGAGCTACATACAAAAAAGTTCACAGATAAGAAATACAACATATGGATACTAACTTAACTCAATGAAAGCTTGCAGTAGACATCTTAGATACAACAGTTTTCAAAACATGAGTATTACTTTCTGGCTATGCAAAAACTGTATGGTACTTGACTTTTTAAACAATACATTTGCTATGCTGAACTCATAGTTTTACACTATTCTAGAATCATGAGATAAAAATGCATAAATGAATCATCATAAGCATAGCATGCTGATGCCAAAATTGGGTTATCACAAGAAGGCTTTGCTATGTTATTGAAGCTCATACAGTATATATAAAACTGGCAATCATAAGGAAAATAAAGAGATTTATGAATCATGTATTTTCATTCCTATATTTAATCGTGCTCCTAGGAATAGATAGTGAACAACAATTCTGATCAGGTATATTTGTAACATAAATTCAGATCAATAAATTACAAACTGCATGGAAAAGATAAAGAACAAATAAAAGCCATTAACCAACATTCAATTGCCAAAATGCATGGTAGTTGGCTGCAGGATTTCCTTATACAAATTATTGTCACCACTAACTCTGAGAATTGAAAGTGGAAAAGTCTTAGAAAAGCAGGGAAAGTGCCAACAGCTTGGCAAAAAATAATAGAAATATGGGAGATGCTGTTATTTAATATTGCCATCACCATACTCAATCAATAAACAATGTTGAAAGAGAGCATGACATAAGAACCCTAGCTTTATTCTAGTTAGTTTAGTTTATTTGATTTGTATACCGCCCTACTCCCGAAGGACTCAGGGCGGTGAACAGCCAACAATAAAACACATAAATACACAAAATTTAAAAACCCGATAAAATCAAATTAAATTATTTGGCCCAGACAAATTAAAATACCCTAATAATTTAAAAACAGATTAAAATTTACATATTTAAAAAGGGAAGAGATTAGGCCAAGCCCGCTTGATGGAATAAAAAGGTCTTCACAGCATGGCGGAAAGAGCGCAGATCCGGGATCCTCCGTATCTCCAGATTCTAGCATCAATACATGTCATTTCCAGCTCATTGTTCACCTTGTTTTATATTATGATTATCTCTACTACTATCTCCAATGATATCATACTTTCATTAAATAGAAATACCCAATAATCAATTTTTGGTTTATTATCAAGATTAGTTATTCTTTTATAAATGTATGTGCATGATTTAAAACATGTTGAGTTATTGATTGGTGACATACAACCATAAAAGCAAATGCCATATAAAGATGGTAACATGCATGTGTATTTCACAACAATGGAATAGTTGCAAGTTAGATGTATTAATAAGAAAAAAGACATCAAAAATACAGAGTGCCTTTATTATTTATATCAACTTAAAATAATTATTTCAATATGGTTATTATTGATTAAAAATCTGAATATATAAAAAATAAAAAGTATATTTGTTGATTGAATCTATTAATTATACATTTTCTAGGTCAAAGACATCTTGAAGGATTGTGATTTATTATTTATAATAAATCAAATAGCTAACAATTATCCCTCTTTCATGATATCCAGAAAATCTGCTACCACATTTTGCCAACAGTAGGAATGGCCATTAACGTGGAGAACCATGTATATGAAAATGTATTAGCACATGCTTTTGACAGATTACAACAAAACCTAATTGGATTCAGACATAAATGTATTAATTCTCTTTTATCTCTCAGAAAGATACTTAGCAATGCCGGAATTACTTTCTTGTGGAGCAATTGCATATTCATCCTGGCAACTTGTGTAAATTGTTTCATTCATACAGAATGTAATAGTACATTGCAGCAGGATAGTAATCAATTATAAAATTAGTCTCCACCCAATTATCTCACATACACATACAGAGGCACTTCAGGAGCAATGATAGCACCAGAAGTCCAGGGGTGGGTTTTAAAACCCGTTGCTACCGATTCACTCGTGGGCACAGAAGCCTCTGGGCGGATGGGCGAAGCCTCTCACCGCCACCAGTAATGGTTTTCTATGGATTGGGGCGAACCGGTAGCAACCCACCACTGCAGAAATCCCAGTGTCCACACCACTGGAAATCTATCATAAAAGAACCCTTGCATTCTTGAATGTGGACATTCATCTTTTCTTTTAATTAATGTTACCTAAATATCAGAAAATGGAATGGTATACCAGATTCTTTTATGAAGAAGCATCTGAAACAATTAAAATAATGAAAAGATGGTACCTTTCTTTCTGGCTGTGTCGTCTGGATCTAGATTTCTGGTTACAGTGACAACTTTAAGAACTAAGTGATTGCCTCCTTGTCGGATCATATTCACCACCTGCCTGTGGCCAACCTTGACTACATTTTCATTATTAACCTGTAGACAAAAAAGAATGGGATGGAATTAAAGTAAACAAAATAATTCATATTAAATTCACAAGGAAAAAGACTGTTTTCATTTTTGTGAATGCTCATATAAATTAATTTAATCCTGGACTAATGTGTGGATCAAAACTTGTTATGCAATTTGCCAAACTCTCCTATGAAATTATCATTTCAAAATTATTCTGAGGAGAAAGATATGTTAAAATGCATCTGTGAGGAATACACTGAATTGAAGAAGTATAGGTCAGGACAAAAGCACACACATAAATAATGAATGTCTCATCTAAAACAACTTTTCATTTTTAAAAACTATATTAGTGCTCTGTGTTAATCCCAGTTAATTTAGAGAGAGTAGGAAGCAAATTTTTAATTACAAACAGATTTCACTCATAAGCAAAAGCCATTTAAAAAGCAGAGATATGAAAGCTTTGCTTAGCCACGTGACACAATCAATAGGAATAAACAAATGTGACCTAGGTGGAAAAGCTGAGTATTTCATAAATTCTTGGAATTATACAAAAATAAAAAAGTATGAAACATCAAATAGATAAATTATTGTTAGTGATTCCCATTTGTTCTCCAAGCCATCTTTCTGGGTTACTTAGGTTTTACATCTAAAATAAGCAGCGAAAGCAAAAACATAATTTTTTTTTTTTAAAAAAGTTCTTTTCTGACACATTACAAAATGCAATTTCCTACAATCTTAGAAGGCATCTAAGAATTACTCCCAAAGCATCTAAGGGACAAAGCCAATCTTGAAGCGTCTCCGTGTTAAGCAATGAAGAGTTCTACATAAAGGGAAATGGTAGAATAAAGAGATGGGATGGGAGATAAAGGCCCAAATGAATGGAAAAGTGTGAATTTCTTAAAGTGCCCTTGTAAGACATTTACAGCAAGCTGAAGTGACCCTGAGTGATGACAAGGTGAAGACTCATTCAGGAACCTCTTGTTCAGTAAATCAAACTGTTCATATTCACTGACTACATCTCTGAGATTGAACAGGTAGCATGCTGACTTACTAGGAAGGGATATATAATAACATCACACAGATGGGTTTAGTAATTTTATTTTATTTATTAATCAAATTTATGTAACTGCCCAATTGAAAAAATCAAAACAAAATTCAAAAGTTATGATATTTATGTAGTTATTTACCAAGAACATCTAAATTATATTAAAGTAACCAAATTGTCTTTACAATCCCCAAGGCATGTCACAACTTTTGAGCACCCCTAATGTTTGGAAATTGAAAGTTGAAAAAATTGACATGCCCAGGCAGTGCCCTTGTTACCAAAGATAATGTACAACAGGGGTGTCAAACTTGCGTTGTCACATTGTCGTTACGTGATGTATCTGTCAGGGTTCCAGGTAACACCGCCAACTAAGTAAGACTCCAAGGCAGGCAGTTCCTCAAAGGTCTATTTTATTAGAGGTGTCATATTGGCACATCTGGAAAAACCCGAAACTGAAAGCTCCTGGGTTTTCCCTACCCAAAGGAAAGTCAAAGTCCCTTCTCCTGCACCCACATGTCCATCACATGGTCCAATCAATCCACTGTCCCAACTGGAGATGCCTCCCAGTCACGCCTCTGCAGGAGCAGGTTGAATGTCCTTGACTCTCAGAGAAAAGAATGTTGTTATGGCTAAATAACTCTACCAACTCCATGCAACCCCCCTCCCACTTTCCCACAGTACTAAGTGTGGCAACCCTGAAGATCCAAAGAAAAAGATGGCCTCCAGGGCTGACAGTATCGTGACTTTTTCCCCCTTCGCTAAACTGAGGGTGGGCGTGGTCAGCGTGTGATGCATCCAGCCCACGGGCTGCGAGTTTGATACCCCTGGTGTACAACAATAAATAAAACAACCAATGTAATATTTCTGAAACCACAAGAATAAATAACATAAAAACAAGAATAAAAAATATTACAATGTAACACTATAATTTCCACTGTGTCTGCCTTTTTCTTTCTTTTGTCTTTGCCATGCAAGGTAGTGGGCCAAAAGTATAATTCTTGATTCTGCTTTTGTTCATGGCTACTCAGCAAAATATCAGAGCTGATATAGGCTTAAACTTATGCTTGTCAAGGTCATCAACATACTGTAATCAATAAATTCCAACTGTGCAATGAGGAGATTGGCTGGTGGGATGCGGGAAGGGGGGCAACAATTAATTAATGTCCAATCTTATTCAGTTTTATCACACACAAAATATTCATCTCCTTCTATCCACAATAGCATCCAGTTGTCCCACATGTGCAGTGTGGGCCTGACACTGAGCTATAATATATCAAATGTTCATAATTATAGGGAACCACGGAGTATGAAATAAACAAAAATCAATTGAACATTTTGACATCTATAAATCACATCACACACTAATTTATGATTCTTTTAACAGAAATAGTATTTGCTATATAAGAGACACCTTTGCATATTTTCTGGAATTTGCTGAATTTGAATTTGCTGGATTCATTTAATGGTTGGAGATATGGGCCTCAAACTACAGTGTTAATTTAAAGGATGTGGCTTTGTGTTATAGTAGTTTTCTTCCTAACAGAAATTTTATATATTGATTTTGGTCTGGAAGACTCATTGGTCTTTAAAGATATTTTTACATTTTCTGACCTACATGCCAGGCAGGAAGGAAATTAACTGAAGGCCAACAGAAATGTTTTCATTAAAAAAAAAAGATATTATATTATTGGATGAATACCTTTTCCTCATCCCTTAAACAGTGGTGTCATTTTATATTTGAACACAGGCAGTCCTTCCTTAACAACTATTTATTTATCAAACTTCAAAGTTACAGCAGTGCTGAATGAATGATAGTTGCAGCCAGTTCTCAAATTTATGGCCACTGTAGTGCCCCATGGTCATATGATCAAAATTCTGGTGTTTGGCAACTGCCTTGGCCAATGGCCAGGCATTCTTCATCAACAGTGAGAGGACAAAGTCGGTCAAGATCAGCTGGGGGTGGCAAGTATAGGCAACAGATTATAGGGTGTCTAAAAGGGAAGGAATGGAAGGAAAGATGGAGGAAGTTGAAATGGGGAGCATGGCAGGGTAGAAAAAGGATGAGGCCTTCACCTAACAACTGCAATTGGGATGACCAAAACTGCTGTTGCTAAGTGGTGTGGTCACAGGACGCAATATTGTTGGCTGAGCAACCAGGGCCAGCAATTGCAGGAGTACTAGAATAAAAGTTGTGTACCCATTGCAAATATACAAAGATTGAAAACAAAGAAATAATTATCTGTTATTACAAATCAAATCCAACAAGAAAAGTATATTTGAAAAGAACAAACCAGTTCTTTTGATGGAAAGAACATCCAGAATCAGAAATACAGATATTCCCTGACTTACAACCACAATTGGGCCAATAATTTTGGTCAAAAGTCATTGCAGTCATTAACAATGGGGGGGGGGTGTTGCCTTGTGATCGCCTTGCTCAATGATTGCAAGCCTGGCTTTCCCACTTGCAGGTGCTAAGTGACAGCGTAGGTTATAGCAGACGTAAGGAAAGAACTGTCTGCCACTGGAGGGTGAATGGCTCCCCCGTGCTGGGCCAGAGAAGCTAGGCAGTTCCCTTCTTGTGTATGAAGGGGTACCACCACACTGGGCTAGAGATAGAAAGCTTGGATCCAAAAGAGTTTGGATTGATTACAAGAAGGCATTCAACTCTGTTCCACATGATTGGGTAATCAAGTGCCTAGAAATTACAAGAGTCACTAGAAACATCAGAAACTTTGGGTAAAGATCAACAGCACAACTAAAGTCATAGTTGCTGGTAAATTGTGATAAACTGGGAGAGGTTACTATCAAGCGTGAGTAGCTATCAAGTATCAAAACATCGGCCATGCTATCCCACCTTCTTTATCTAGACAATCTGAAGCTATATGGAAATACATTATGTGAAAGAGTCATTGCTTAACGTTGTCCATATAAACAGTCAAAATATTGCAATGGAATTTGGACTGGACAAATGTGCCCTCACCACCAAGAAGAAAAATAGTGAACACTGAAGGAATCAAGTTGCCTTATGGAAACAGTATCAGGAGTCTGGATGAAATCACTACCAATTCCTGGACAAGCTGCCAATATCAAGTACACCGAAGAAAGGAAGGTTAGAATTGAATACTTCATGAGAGTGAATATCTTAATATCCAAACTCAGCGGTGGAAATATCATCAAGGCAATTAACACAGTAGTAGGTTCCTCTTACCTTCGCTACCGGTTTGGAACCGGGAGTGTGCGGTGCTTCTGCGCATGCGCAGAACTTTCTGCACATGCGCAGAGCATCCGTGATGACGTCCGGGCGGGTGGGCGGAGCCTCCCGCCACCGCCACTACTAGTTCACTGAACCGGGACAAATGGTAGAAACCCATCACTGAATTAACACCTGGGCACTTTTGATCATTATATATAGAGCTCGAATTGGACTCAAGCAGAACTAAAACCCCCAGAGAGGAAGACCAGACAAATAATGATAATGAATCATGCCGTTGATGCACACAGCAATGTTGACAGACTCTATTTATCAAAGAAAATATGTGGGAGTGGCATGGTGGAAGTACAGCAGATTGTTGAAGATGGAAAAAAAGGCATTGGAAGAATATCAGAAGGACAGTGAAAAAGATGCACTGAAACTAGGATACCATGAAGGCTTACTGAATACCAAAGGAATTCCTTGCCACTAACCTATAAGAAAAGCAAAGTGAAGAATAAAAAAGAGGCATGCCAAGACAAAGTATTACATGACCAGTACATTAAAAAAAAAAAAATCTAGCAGGGAAAGAAGATAACCTGGCAATGGCTAATACCAGAAAAGTTGAAGAAAGGGACAAAGGGACAAATTCTGGCTGCACAAGACCAAGCCTTCAGTACTAATACATACAAAGCCAAAGCTGAGACAAGGACAGACAGCAAATGCCACCTCTGCAAAGAAACTGAAGAAACAGCAGATCACCTAATTAGCTTCTGCAAGAAAAGCTCT